TAATTTGAAATAAAACACCCCCACTTCATAAACATTCCTCCCCCCCTCCCTCTCTCTGTTTCATCTGCAGCACTGTGTTCATAGAACACACTGCATTTGGTACTAACGAATTTGTCTGTCTGAACTTGCTTTCTTGGGAATTAATTTGTTTATTCTGGTTCGATAATTAAAATTCTGAGATCAAAGGGTGGCCATGGTCACCTAACACGAAACATTATTTCCACTATAATTTGTAGAATGTTTGTCTTCTTGTGCAGAGATTCAAATTTTTTAAGTCTCTTGCAGTAATTCTTGACGCCTCTCTTATCTAATCAACTTATTCATTCTTATATAATGTGCTGTTTTTCCTAAATTACCACCATAGAAAGATATACCAAAAAGTATCAAGAGTTGAGGAATAGGTCATGCAAACTGTATGGGTTTGAATCCCAGAACTAAGGAGACAGACACGGAGAGAGAAAAAGAAAGAATGAGAGAAACAGAGGGAGAGAGGCAAAAACAAAGAGCGGGAGAGAGAGGGAGAGAGAGAGAGAGAGAGAGAAAGAGAGAGAGAGAGAAAGAGAGAGACAGAGAGAAAGAGAGAGACAGAAAGAGAAAGAGAAAGAGAGAGAGACAGAAAGAGAAAGAGAAAGAGAGAGAGACAGAAAGAGACAGAAAGAAACATTAACAAAGACAAAGAGACAGGAACAGAGACAGAAACAAAGACAAAGAGACAGAGAGAGACAGACAGACAGACAAAAACAGAGACACACAACCGTTTGCTGCACCGACCTGCTCGTATTTCTCCAGCTCCGTGTGGTAGATCTGTCGTATCTGAGCCAGCTTGGCGCGGTAGTCCGAGTGTTCTATGGCACTGTCGGGCTGACCCCCCGAGGCAGCGGCGGTGGCACTGGCCGCCGCAGACGACCCGCCCCCTTTCTCGGGGCCGGCCACGCCCTCCGCGATGAGCATGTTGTCCAAGCGCATGAGCTGCGGGTCTGGGGGCTCTTCCTCCTGTGTGTTTCGTATACTTAGCACTGAGGATAGAGGTAGAATAAAATATGTAGGTATATATGTTTGTCATTGTATGTATGTATATATGTTTGTCATGGTATGTATGTATATATGTTTGTCATTGTATGTATGTATATATGTTTGTCATTGTATGTATGTATATATGTTTGTCATGGTATACTTAACACTGAGGATAGAGGTAGAATAGAATATGTATAGTGGGGTCGGTGGCCTAGGGGTTAGGCTCTCAGACTCGCAACCGTAAGGTCGTGGGTTCGAATCCTGTCAAGGGCCCGACGTTGTCCTTGGGAAAGACACTTTACACGAATTTTCCTCACTTCACCCAGGTGGGAATGGGTACCCGGCTATAGACAGCCGAAGATCTTGTCAGTTTGTTAGTGTTTGAGCGCTTAATCGGCTGCTTGCACTGTATGCTTCCCAGGAAGCTGAGAATGTTTCGGAGTGTTCTATGGTCTGCTGGGGTAATAATATAGTGTAAAGCACATAGAGCCTGCTGTTGAGCGGGGATATGCACTATACAAATGCTATTTATTATTATTATTATTATGTATGTATGTATGTTTGTCATTGTATACTTTTCTTTTTTTTTCAGCCCATGATCTTTAATGTCCATTTAAAAACACGTGGATTTTTATTGAAAAAGATCAAATGCACAAAAAATAGACAATTTTGGCGGCCGGTTTCTCCCTAATTTCCCCGTTTTAACACTTTTCACCCACGCAGCGCGCACAACACTTATCCCCACGGACCAGGATAAAGGTGCGGCACACCGTTGCCGACCGGCGTCCCGTGGGGGCATAGTGTTAAGACAGGGTGACTCTCAAACCCTTCAATCGCAAATATCTCGACTTTTATTGAAGATAGATGGGTTGGGTAATTTTTTTTAAATTTAAAGCAAGACGAATGAACAAGCTTTAAGATTATACCATTCACTCCACATGCCCCTGATTCCACCATACCGTGAGTCATATATAAAGAGCGGACAGAGAAGTATTTGAGTAAACAAGAGAAAAAATAGTCAGTTCGTGGGGAGGGGAAAAAGCGACAGACAGACAAATGTAACAGAAGTAAGATCTACCAAAGGCACACCCCAACATCCCCCCTCCCCCCCTCTAAAAAATTCTCAGAAAAATCATTATCTCAACCACCTATAAAATCAGCTCTACTTTAACTATATATATACAACTTTAAGACTATTAGCCCATAAAGCTCAATTTTAAAAAAACTCCTATGGTGGTTGAATCAGAAAACTCTTCAAACCCCCCTCCCCCCTGGAACAAAGGAGACTACCTTCACACTTCACACCAGACCATTCAGGAAAAAACCAATGGTGTAACACAACTCCCAAGATAAACCTCCTTACCCCATCCCTCATCTTCTCTTACCTGTCTTCAA